CCCCAAAACCCCAAAACCCCAAAACCCCAAAACCCCTTTTTTAAACATATCATTGAAATAAATATGGATTTTTCTAAATACATCTCCCTTTTAGCCATTTCTCTGTGAGTGTGAGCAGGCTTCATTAAAGCAGAGATAATCCATCACGGATATTTGAATGCAAGCCAGCAAGTCTCTTTGTCACTGAATAACTCAGATCCAAATATATGCGCTGAATACATGTTTATGACAAATTATAAGAAGGGATACTTTGATTTAGTTACCACTCCTAGCACTAATACTGGTTTCCAACAGAGGATTATTTTGACAGATATGCCTCATGATGTCTGCCCAACTCAGTGATCTGCAGAGCCTAACTATTGCCAAGTTGTTTCAAACAGAATCTTCAGCAGAACGCAGGCAGTCTTTTCGAAATGCTTTCCAATATTATATGTGTACATAGTTAACCAAGTTCCTTCAATAAACCTGGAAGGATTTTTAGAAGATACTGGCATTGATCAAGACGATACACTCACAATCGCTCCTACAAGTAATCTAGCAGAGATCACTGATGTTAACGAGGTATCAGATAAAGAGCCAGTGTTCACTCTCAAGCCAAAACATTTGGAAACAGATTGTTTGACTCTCGAAAATGTATTGCCAAAATGAGCCTCCCTCTCTAAAAGACAATGTATTGATAAAGCTTTTTGATCTGAAGAATGAGCTCTGCTTACTTGCAAAGATGTTGAAGGCAAAGACCTTTTCTCAGTATGCACAGACGTACAACTTAAAAATGAACAGTTGCTAGATATTTGCACCGATCATGTCTTTGGAGGAGAGAATTACTTATTTAACAAATGTGTGAACCCAGAACCATTTTCACCATCTTTAACTGAAGCACAGGTGTCTATATTCCTTATTGTTTGTGTCTTCATGACTCTTTTAGTCTCCTGTGTTTGCTGTTATAATCTGAGGCTGATAAAAACAGGTGAAGCTCCTTGTGCTATATGCCCAATTTGTCCAGACTGTCTTTTCCCAACAGAAATTGAAGATGAAGAAGATTTTAAAGATGATGAATTTGATTCAGAATTCTAAAATATCACTAAAGCCTTCTTTCTATTCTATTTTTGCAAAGAGGGGTTTTGGGGTTTTGGGGTTTTGGGGTTTTGGGGTTTTGGGGTTTTGGGGTTTTGGGG